CATGACGCAGTTCGGGCTGCGAGCCCAAACACTTTATGAAAAGCTGGTTCGCCAGCCAGTTGCTCACCTGAGTAACAGTAGATACGGTTGACTGAACTTTCGCTGCATGGCACCAGTGTGTCCACCTGCATGCACCAAATTGCTGTCAAGACACCGCCTAATCGGAGCTGTCCTTGCACCGCTGAGAGAGCTGCTGCTTCAGGTTGTAGATACCACACACCCTCTTCCAATTCCAACCCTTCAGGATTTGATGCTCATTGAGCTGGTCTTGGCGGCCTGACAATGTCCACTTCTCAGACTCCACCGCTTCGGCGCTGGCACAGTACTTGAAGGTCACCTTCGTAGATGAACAAGCCAGTTCCAGCTCGTCTTCCCATCCCTGCAGCACCGCCTCTATCACACAGAACCAGAAACTCAGGCGCGCAACGTCTTGGTTCAGTGGCTCCAGCGTTGGGGGCCGTTGGGGGCCTCGAAGTCTTGCTGAAGCTGGCGACGAAGATGGCCTCACCCCACAGCAAGGGCGGCTTGTCCCGAGGCCAAATGACGTCTTTGATCTTGTGGCAGGCTGCGAGCGCAGGGACCAGACCGGCGTGTGTCATAGCTGTGGGCTCGATATTCAAAGCGCTGAGCACACAGGTGTAAACCCCCGACCGTTTCATCTCAGCCTCATAGACGGCCTCATCGTAAGCCTGCAGGCCCCCGACCTTCACCTGTCCCTTCATCTTAATCTAGCCAAGCCACCACTCTTGGCTGGGCGAGTCCATCCTTCAGTGCTAGGATCGTAGGATGGTTCAGAGACTCAGCTGCGCTGGAAGCTTTGGCATCCGGTGGCGCCTGTGCTGCCTGCTTCCGAGAAATCCTCTTGCTTGGCTGTGTCGGCACCTCCGACGCTGGCCTCTTACCATTGGTTTTGCCAGAATCGGCCATGTCACCTTCGCTAGTCTCCCCGCCCCGGAAGCTTTGGCCTGGAACGGCCGTTACTGGATGTTGAGCATCATCTTATTCGGTTCAAGTGCAGGCGGCCTGCCACACAACCCGGCATACACAAGCCGCCCAGCAGCATGCACAGAATGCAGACATGTTTCTCGCGCGATGAGATTCAGAAGTCCCGTTTGGCTAGCATTTCTTGCCGACGGCAAGTTAAAATTGTGTGGGTCTTTGATCGCCTGAGGCCTGAGGCCTCGTTGAGGCCTCATATCAAAATGGCCTGGAGGATGTCGCCTGTGCACGCAGAAACAGAATCTGGCTGCTAGTTAGGTGCCGTCACACGCAGAAAGTTCAGGGCCTTGAGAACAGGCACCAACACACATATGAGAGAAGTCGCAGCCATGCTCCGTCCAAGCAACCCAATGGATTGAGCTTCACTCAGGCCACTGAAGTTCAACTTCAGCTTCTTGCTTGTAAAGCCCATGCAGCCGGCCACATCTGCAGGAGTCAGAAACCTGTGGCACACAGACGCATTCAAACGAAACAAAGCAAAGCCATGAAAGCGACACGCTGCAGACCTGCCTCTTCCTGGTGAAATCCAGGAGTCGTGAGCTGGCAGTGATGCACGGCACGGTTCCGTACAAGTGTACTTGCCCTCTCTCTGCGCTTTGCCCAACGTCGCAAATGACATGAAGGCTGGTGTCCGAATCCATGGCGGGCTGCTCAGCTAGCGAAGTGTCCACGATGGCTTCACACCTGTCGCCATGCAGGTATCAACATCCTGTCTGATTTAATGCTGCTACTTCGAAGCAAAGATTCGGGCAAGCTACGTGTCAATTTGGGCTCTCATCCAAGCAGTCTCACCCGAGAAGAATTTCCTCGACATCCGATCATGTGCATTGCGAAGCAAGGAATTATCCTCCGGCAGGCGGCCGGCTTTCTGTGCCCTGGCATAGGCCTTCGCGAAGCAAGAAGCATAAGCAGCCTCAGCATCCGCATCCTGCACCACGTCACTGCTTGCGACCGGAGTGTCATGCTTGAACAAGAAGTTGCTCACGTGGTGCAGCGCCATGTCGTCTGTGGCCTTTGCGAGCTCTCGGATCTCACGTTCGATGGCTGTGAGGCCACCCGCAGGAATAGAAAAGCAAGAGTCCGATTCCTTGAGCAGGCCAACAGCGAACACTCTTGGCCGGGCCGCCGGCCTTGGGCAGCACAGCAAGCAAACAGCGCAAGGACCCGTGCCGTCGAGCCCTAGACAGAAGCAGCACAGCCGAACTCCATGAGACAAGAGGCAGGGGCCGGCTGTCAAGTTTGATCGTCACCCAGTTGTAACACATCCCCAACTCGCGCTGAATGACCTCGTTCACAAATGTCAGCACAGGCTCCGTGTTCTCTGCATCCCCTCCGCGACGCTTGAGAACTCCTGCGACATTCTCTAGGACGAAGCACGCCGGCTGCAGGAGCTTGCAGGTTTGCACCACGCCGCGCAGCACTTCGGCGCGCGGTGTTTGGGCGGCGTCTGAACCGGCGCTGAGCCTAGCAGCATTCATGACACTATTGCTGTCGCATGGGTATCCTGCCACGTATATGTGTGGCCGTGTAGCATCGCTCACATTGAGGCCCTCCACCGCATCAGATGTGTAGCAAAAGCTTCGAGCATCACGACCTACTTCCATGACACCCTTTAACAGTTGCTTTGGCTGGAAGGCATCCACTGCATTCCTTAGCAGCATATGAGCTGCATCCACATCGATCTCTGAAGCTGTGATCTCGACAAAATTGAGAAACTCTCTGAGCACCAGCGAGGGCGCTCCAAACCTGACATCTAGATATGCAACACACTGGGATCCAATAATAATGGGGGATCGCAAAATGTCACCACGTGTAAAAAGGAATGTGATTGGAATCTACTTTGTAAGGGCACCCAATACATTAATGAAGGAATTGAGGTCGAGATGAGATGGAATATAGGGACCCTGGAGGCCCGGGAGCCAGTGAGGCCCCTGCCCTGAGCAAGCGGTAGCCAAGGCAGAGTGCCAAATCCGGGCTGACAAGTCAAGTTCAGCTGGCTCAGCACCGAGGATGCGAACTCTGACAAGCTAAACGGGGACACGTCCATTGATGGCACCACGTGTATCTTGGCTCCTGTCGCTGCCGCTGGTGTTTTAGCCACTTTGGCCTTCCCACCGGCAGCGCCCGCCTTCCGCTTAAGCTTGGGAGCCATCAGCAACTACACCCTCACTGACGAAGCAACCTCTGACCCAAGCTGCATGGAAGCAATGTAAGACACTCGGACTCAGAAGGAGCCGCCAAATCGGAAAGCAGCATCGCGAGTCCGGGCCCGGACCCGGACTCGCAGAAGCCAAGAGTTCGACCGCGTAGCCGGGCGTATAACCTGGACTCGAAACAACATTTTTAATTGGAGCACCGCTACATGGAGGGATTGAGTGGAGTTACGAGTCCGGGTCCGGGCCCGGACTCTCAACTAGCTCCTTGATTTCAGACAGACTTTCCAAGTCCAAACTGTTCAGCCAAATCTTAGGCCAGGACCGTGGAAGAGGCGCCGCGCAGGGACACAGAGTGCAACCTCGGCCAACGACACGCTCTGACGCCAAATACCATGAAGTAATTGCAGAATACAGCTGTCCGACACGAGAGCACTAACCAAGAGCACATTGGCTGTTCGCAGGCAGCGCCCAATCTACGACCATCTGCCCTGCAAGCAAACTGAGGCCCCTGACGAGCTCTGGCAGTCCACACCTGAGCAAAGAGACAGCAAATCCCAGCACGGAGCACGTCTTCAGTGGCAAACCACAAAGGGCAACATGCGGTGCAAAGTCGAATCTAGCAGCTAGCAACAACCAAGGCTAGATTGCATTGCATCTTTTCCCGGGTCTGACTGCAACGACTTCCGCGCATCCACTGAGATGTACATCAGCCTTTCCAGGGCTAATCAAGCTGCAGCGGCGGATGACGACGATGCCTCGTGCTGCGCCTGAGGCTTGCCATCCCAAACCAAAGTACACGACTGCAGGAGATCTTTGCAAGTCCATGTTCGCTTACGCAACGCGTCAGTCTCCGCCCGAAACTGATCTCCGGCAAGCTGGAAGGTCATCGTCAGGCGGTCCGGCTTCTCAGGCCGGGGGCCCATTCTGACGTCGAAAGTTGGCTGTCCGCTTTTCAAAGGAGGGCTGAGATGATAGCCCCCTGTCAAAACAGTGGTATGGTCTGGATATTCCTTCGCAAACGATTCGTGGATGTAGATCATGACACGCCTCTCTTTCAACGCACTGCGGAAGCATATCTCACTACCCTGGCCAACACCCTGAAACCAAGAGTGGGTTCCACCAACCTGGCGCCGACGAGGCGTGCAAAGAGGGCATCGGGACTCGTGAAATCCAGGTGCACGTTGGGCACGACTACCAGATCTGCAGCATGCTGATAGGTGCTGGCTCTGCGAAACTTGTACCGTGTACGGTCAGCAGAAATAGCAGTAATGCTTCGAGCTAGAAGTGCAGAAGGAAACTCCGCCAACGGAGGTGGGGGCCCTGGACCGCTCTGGACCTGTTTGACTCTCATCATGCCGCCCTTTGCGTCAACATACGGCACCGGCTCTTTGGCCTTCGACTCGAGAAAGACGGCGGCCTTTGCGTTTGCCACCTCAACCTGCTTCTGCACAGCCTTGCGGGTGTCTTCTTCCATCGAGTCAGCCGAGTCAGGCATTTCTCTCAATGCCAAAGGCCTGTTAGTCACCATGGCTGTATACATCATTTTCGCAGAATCTGCACATTCTTGCATGGTCCTTCTGCGTTTCGTCGGCGGCTCGGGCAATGCAACAGCACCAAGTGGGCCATCTGCCTCACCTCCCTGCTGGACCCTGGCCACAGCTGCTTTGACAGAATCACCATGCTGCTTCAAGAGAGCCGCCTCGGACCTGTCTGAAACAGCTTCGGGGCCCAACCTTGCTCGAGTCACGCGCGGCCGCTCGGCCTGAAGTCTCTGCTTTGCAACCTCTGAAGGCAACAAAGGCTGCGCAGCACGCGATCACCGTTTCGAAGGACGTGATTCGCCACATGGTGACCGTGAGAGAGCGCTTTGCATCCGCAAAGTTGGACAGCGTGATGGAGGAACTGGAGCAGTCGCATGGCATCGACAATCCCATCTCGAAGATCTCTGTCCTTGAGAAATTGTGCAGCTTCACAAAGGCTGGGGATGCAGTGCTCAATGACGCACTGCTGACATGGGTCATCCACGACCTCATGGCTGCCACGAGGAACCGCTGCCTCTCCGGGGCCGAGAAAACCAGAGCCTTCCACCGCATCAAGTGCAGTCTTCTGAGTCGGCGCATCTGCTACTATGTCATCAGCAAGCTTCGCTTCACCAAGTCGGAGGCGAAGAAGTGCGTCGGTGACATGGGTTCGGCAACGGACGTGAAAAGCCCTCTAGGCTTCTACAACAACTTCTTGTCGCACGAGGCGCTGGAGAAGTCCATGCTGAACGACACCATTTCCGACAAGCTGTGGCTGAGCAACCTCCCGGAATACCAGCGCGAGTCCTTGGAGACCATGCGTCTCTTCCTCGACCCATCCCCGGCCCTCTATGCCGCCTTGGATAAGAGCATTGACAAAGATCCCCAGGCTTCGGCTGAGGAGTGCCTGGTGCAAGATCACTGGCAGACTCTGGGTCACCTGAAGCATTTGCTCGATCTGAAAGAGCCCTGAACCCAGCAACTCCAGCAGGCCACTGCGTCGATTGATCATAGCCGTTGGAAACAGACAGCTCAGGTCGAACCTCCCTGCCCTGGCTCCCATCTCTTCGGCTCCACCTCCTGCTCCGGAACCTGCGGCCGTTGCCGCCGAGACTGAGATCCCAGACTCTGCAACATGTCAGCCTTCGCTGTCTCTTGTTGCAGAAGCCGGCTTGCAGCTACGTCCGATGTGATTTGTCAACTCAGGCTGATGCTGGTGAGCCTGAGCACGATGACGATGCCCTCCATTCCGGGCAGCTGGTTGCCCAAATGACCGCGCCATCCGAGGCTCTTCCAGCGGGGCCATCGCATGAGGATGCATTGAGAAGCATCACGGATGTGCTGTCCATCCCCTCCTGGCTTATGGACATCATGCGCAAGGTTTCCCCGGAGGTCTTGGCCAATATGGTGCGCCATGCCCGTTCACGAGTGGGCCTGAGATTGAGGTTATTTCGCTGAGTGGCTTAGGGAAGTCACAGTGACGCATGCTTCCATCCTTGTTGTGTCATTCGGATTGCGCTCAGGTGTGGACAGCTATGTCCGATTCCTGAAGACAAAATCTGAAAAGATGACTTCTTTTGAGGAGACAGTGGGTGATGCCTTGCAGGGACAAGGGCCCTGGATGATCCTTCTGGATGGCATGAACTTCGGGTCTCCCTCGCCGAAATGCTCCGGAGTGCCCGGGCACCTGCTTCGCGCGGCGGTGTCAAAGGTTATGGAGCTGGATGCTGACAATGAGATCCGAGCCCTTGGTGGTGACTCTTTGTTCATGATCAGTGACGGGCGGAATGGTCAGTGCGACCGGCTGATCCGCTCAGAGATCAAGAAAAAGGCCAAGGCAGCCCAGAACGTCTGTACGAGGAAAGCCTGCGTGAACTTTAGGCTGATGTTCCACCTTCGGGAGTTGAGTGCTTCCGGCCACCTCGGCCTGCGTTCCAAGAAGAAAATGCACTCCCAGCTCGGGAAACCATTGGAAAACCTGCGCATTGTGAAGGGCAAGCAAACGATCATGCCCGTCAAAGAGCGCAAATTTCTGGATCTTCCAGGCGACTCGAGCACCCGTGGCCTCAGCAATCTGCCGCTTGTCTACCTGGAGTCTACCTTAACTTCTTACTGCTTCGATCAGTAATTCATGCGTGGTTTGTTATTTCGACTTTGGTGTGCGTGCACTGAACAAGGAGCTTCAAGTCGCGGGATGAGCTGGACCATTGCCTTGTCAATCAGGGGTTGCGCACCACGATCTGCGAGTCGGCCAGCTACAAGGGCGGCCCCTCCAATCCATCGGGCGGCGGTGAGCAGGCTCAGGACGGTTCGAGTGACTCGGACAGCGAGGCTGAGGCGGGTGATGCGATCAAAAAGCGGGGGTGATGGCGATGACCTTTCCTTGGCGTTGTTTCCTTTTGCGGCTTCAGAGAGTTTGGACAGAGAGTTGTTGAACCTCGTCGGCACCTCCGGCAGCGGCAAAAAGAGAGAGATCATTGATTTGGCTCCTGGCAGTGGTGCGCTGGCGTTGGCATGTTGCAGGGAGAGCTATCGGTACAGCGGTGTGGTCGCGAGCCAGGAGCATGCCGATTGCATCGTCCAGTCGATGAGCCTCCATATCATCAAAGAGCTGATTTTGAACCGCCGCGACGGTTTCACAAACTCCAGGTTCCTCTCCAAGAAAAGATCGTTGGGATCCGCCTTGGACAAGGAACTCTTCGATGCCAAGACTGAGGATGCCGTGTCCGTCTCTGCAGTCTCCGCTGCTGGTACCACTCCGACGAAGCTTCGCGACCAGGATCTGGTCGCAGTCGGGCCAATTCCGCCGGATTTGATCGATGATGATGATGATGATGAAGGTTTCGATCAGACGTCCAAGGCGGCAGACGCCTCCTTTTTGCTTGGCCCGCTCTGCTGGCTATGGCTGCCAAGTTTTGATCTGTTGACAGCCTCTTTCAAAGTTCCTCAGCATAGTTCCGGAAGGACAGCTTCTTTTATCTCAAAATTACTCGCGCAGACACTGTCTCCGGAGGGGTGGAACAAAACTCGAGTCCATGTGCTGACTGTCGTATGTCTTACTCAAGCCTAAGCTTTGAACTTGCTGAACGCAGTGCAACCCCATTCACAAGCGATGCGTGACTTAGGCCAGTTGCGGCAGAGCGTGCGGGCCACTCAGCGGGTGCAGCCCAGCTGAGACTTTGAGAAAGCATTGATACCCCGGTAGAGGAGTCATGACATGCCAGTTCTGCATGACTGCGGTTGTCAGTTGGGTGCTGGGTGCAATCGTCAGTGCCCGCTAGTTATGCTTCAAGCGATCGACCAAGCTTGGCCATCCGGAGCCAATGGTGTCCAACAAGGTTTCTTACCCGAGTGGGAAAAATTTGCCATAGTTTTGGGGAATCAATACTGCATTTATTAGTCCAGGGCTTTAATTAAATCTTGGTATGACAATGACGCAGAGGCTCATGTGGACATCGTCACCTGCTTACATTCAGCCGGCAATGTAGCTTTCATGCTGGAGTCCGACATGCCAGAGAGGCTCACTGTGGCCGATGCAGCTGGTGACGCGGACATTTCTGCCAGGCTACGCTATCGCAATGATGGCAGCTTCAGCTTTCGTGATGGTGTAAACGTTGCTGGCGTGCAGAGCTGCAAGATCTTGATCCTCCAGGTCGATGGCGAGGAAGAGTGTGTGCAGCTACTTGCAGAGCTGGGGAAGCGACACTCGCCGAAGCATCTCGTCTTCAGAAAGGTCTTGCAAAGCTATGAGAACATAGGAGGTTATATAGTTTAGGATGACAGCTTCATGCGCCTGTAGGCTCGTGCTTCTCTTGCCGGCCGATAAGACTAATCATGACGGCATCCTGGAGAAGGCCTCTGGTGAAGGGTGGCGCTGCTACCATCATCTCCGGAATCCATCTTGGAAGTTGCCCATTGTTGCAGCTCCTACCGCTGTGATGCTATGTAAGGATGAGGCCTTGCTGCGTGAGTGTTCTGATGGAGCAGAGGCTTTGTTGAGCCAATGGTCTACTGATGCAGAGGACCGGCGAGATCTTCTCGAGCATATCTTGGAACCCTCGAAGTTCAAGGCTGTTTGGTCGGCTGGCTGCGGCAAGAAGAGCGCAGTGGACACTGCTGCTGGCAAGGATGATGATGACAATCAGGCGAAGCGGCAGAAGACGTGGAAGGAGATGTTACAGGAAGCAAAGTCGCACGGGCTTCTTCCAGCGGCCTACCCCGAGGATGCGAAGATCAAGAGCAAGTTGGACCACATGTCGCTGAGAGCCGAATGCATAGGGCACATCCTCCTGGCGAAGATGACCGAAAGCAGCGGCAAAGTTTTGATGTGCGGCACAAACACTTGGCCCAATTTGGATGCTCTAGCGTCGCAGTTCAAGGTGCCCCAGAAGTGCAGGCTTGGGATCATTGTGGCGTCCTGCCCCAAGAGTGCGAAAACGGGTAATGTTCGCCCGTTGCTGCCACGGGAGGTCGTGTCTATGAAGGGCTGGGAAGGCTCGGAAATGAATTTCTCCACGTTGCGACCGAGCAATCAGTGGCACGTTGTCAACAAGCTTCCATATAAGCCAGTCGTACAGTCTGTGATTCTGTCGGGGCTGAAAGCGGCCAAGTGAGGTTGTGCAGTGCTATGAATTTTGGGGCTGAGAAAAGGCTCCTTACAGGCATTGTTGTGTGCGGCCGCTACGCACATGTGCAGCAGCAATGGTGATGAGGATATCGTGCAAGCTCGTTAAGATACATAGTTGCCAATGAATTCAATGACATGACACTTGCTGGTCTCTCAGGTCTGCAACAGCGGTATCAGCGATGCGGCATCGAGGCTTTGAGGGCGTGCACTAGGAACCGAATTCCGCTCTCGATGCCTTCGGATTGCGGTCTGATTCTCTGCTGTTGCTCAGTGGCGGCACCCGCCCCTTCAAGTCTTGTGCACATGGTTCAAACAGCTCGGCGCCCATGTATAGCGAGTGGTTTGGGGTTTGACAGTTTTACAACTTTGGGTTTAGTGCGGTGTGGAATGCGAGCCGGCGAGCCTGATGCAAACGGGGTTGAGGGCTTCAAACGTTTAAATTAGCGTTGATGGGTGTTGTTAAGTCTATTGGTCTATTTATTGTAGCTTATAATGTCTGGTAAAACCTGGGCCTGCTAGCTGGCCCTTTTATTATACGGTTTATATACCTACAACTGTTTATGTGCTAGGGAGTTTGTCGGGTCATGGGAGTCCCTCGCCGATTGCGGGTGAAGACTGCCCCAGCTGCTGCTGTAGACGATGCTGCGAGTGCGCGAGGTTCAGACGATGCTCCGCCAAGTCCATCTCAGAGGAAGCCGCAGCCGAAGCGGAAACAAAAAAAACACGTGCTGGTCTGCACATCCGTCATTCCGCCGGCACGCAAGGCTTATTCGTTGTACCTGAAGGACTAGTATCCCCGAGTAAAGTCGCAGCTTTCGGAAGAGCAGCAGAAGGGCCGTTGCCAACGTCTGGTGATCGCAAGAGTGCTTAAGCGATGCAGAGAAGAAGAAGAAGTGGAAGGATAAAGCGTCGAATGAGCGGAGTGCAAGGCAATCCGCCTTGGAGCAGCTTTGTGACATGGATCCTGCGAGGGATGGCGGCGAAGTTGAGACACTCGAGGAGGTCAAGATCGGAGATTGGTCTTTGGGCCAGCAAGGCCGAGAAATCTGGGCTGGAACCAAGGTTGCATGTTTTTCAGCAACCCACGACAAGCTGTGCATGACTGGCCTGGCACTCGTCTTCGGCGATGATTGGGACTTCAAGAATGAAATCAAAATCTTGAAGGCCTTGCAGAAATATCCGAGTCCATTGTATCTTGAGGTGCTGCAACCCGTCATAGAGAATGTGGCCGTGCGGGCCATCATCCACGAGAACCTCCCGACCCTGGCTGCGGTGGGCCCTTTCAGTGGCTCGAGGCTGCGGACCTGCAGCAAACAGATCGCAATGGGGCTTTTGCACCTTCATGCTGCTGGTTTTTATCACCTGGACATCCGCCCAAAGTCGTGGTTTTGGTCGGAGGAGCGGCAGATTGCGAAAATGGGCAGGTTTACGTGCGCCAGGGATATCAATGACACCGAACAGCTACAAACCATACTGTGCTCCGTACCGGTGGCCTGAACTCTGGGACTGCTTGGATGCAGCTGTGCTGAGCGAGGGCTGTGAGGCATGGGCCTTCGGAACGACCTTGGCAGAACTTAGGTTGGGCAACCCCCTTTTCACGAAAGTGGGTCAGACCTTGGATTTCCACCGTGGCCGCAAGCGAGACCAGATGCTTCAAGTTTTGAATGATTCTGTCCGCTTTATCGTAGCTCAGTTTTTGCAAATCGACCCAACCAGTAGAACGACACTTCAGTCATTCGTGGACTCGCTTGCCATGCTGCAGCAGCTGTCTTGAAGTCATAGCTTCAATGCAGAACGTGCCGAATAGAAAGTAAGCGTCAAGGCTTGTTGCTTCAAGCGGCTGGGGGCCTTTGCAGCTCTGGCGTTGGAGATCAAAAAAGCATGGGTGCGCGACACACATTGTCTGTTCAAGCGAATGCATTGTTTGAGCAAAGAGTCCTGACCCACCAGATTCGAAGATGGTTTGTTATCGTTCCCTGTGGCAGGTTACGCCTGCGCGGGTGAGCCGAATGAGCTCGCTCTCCGCTTTCTCTCAGACTCCCACTCTCTTTCTCTTTCTCTTTCTCTTTCTCTTTCTCTTTCTCTTTCTCTTTCTCTTTCTCTTTCTCTTTCTCTTTTTCTTTCTCTTTCTCTTT